CATCAATTTATCTATGTAACAGTACAGTACACATCACACAGGCAAAGAAATGCAGTTATAGTTTTGAAAGCATTTCCATCCCATAAACTGAATAGCTAAGAAGGCCTGTTAACTTGAGCTCTCTCTACAGTTACTAAGGCAGATGTTCAGCTATGATAACTTTATAAGACACATATGTATATTAACTTTTAGGTTTTCATCTGGAACAACAAAGGATAGATGAAGAGACACAAAATTACCAAAAGATTTGAAAAACATAAGCTTAAGCTCATGTTGGTTTGCCTGGATGTATTCTTTCTTCAGACTTCATAATCTTTATGAAATATACTCTTCAGAACAGACAGCTTGTTTGTTCTCATAGGTGTTTTAAATCATGGAGCAACAATATTGTACCAATTGGCTTGATTATATCTCAATTGGAATCCAGCATTTTTTTTAAAGGAAATTTGCTGCAAAATAAACCAACCACCTCATTTTTTCCAAGAATGCTTCTGGTTCCACATAGACTCCAGAGGCATTCTTAGAAAATTAACATGGTGGATAACTGCAGTCCAGTTTAGTGTGTCCACCTATCCAGAAAGAAAGGTCACTAGGGAACTACTGTAGTACATAAAGTGGTAGGAAGTAATGTTACCAGCTTTCTTTCTGGTAAATATAACTGGCCATCCTCTATGGCAACTATTTTGTGGAAGTGCATGTGACAAGTTAAGAGCCTACTGTCCCAACTGTCCTCTAAATATTAACAATTACACAGCTATAGAGTTCCAGTCAGTTTTCTTCCTGTCCCAAGCATCTAAAGCTATCTAAAGGAACCTGGAAGCCAAGCAATCTTAATGCAACTTTCATCCACAATCACCTCAACTGTTTGTAGAATCCTTTAGTAACATATCTCCCACCTGTTCAATGGACACCTAGCAGTGTCCATTTTAGAATCCTCCTTTCCTCCAAGAAGTTAAATGGGACATATCTCACTCCATTTCAGTTTTACTACAGTATAGCAGCTTGTTATCTAATGCTTTGCTAAAACATGATTTGTCTGAAGTGCCTCTTGAACTAAATACAGTACTCACCAAAGAAGCACATGCATTTGAATCAATAATTTTTCCACAGAACTCTTCCTGTTTTTATTTATTTACAAACATGCATTTGCAGCCCAATTCCCCATTATTCTCTCCTCTGTGGTACTGATTCTTTTTTTTAAAAAAAACTACATTCTCCTACAAAAGCGATCCCCAGAAAAATTTAAATGAGGGTCTAGCCCCTGCCTTCCAGGTTAAAAGCAAGCTAAAAAGCAGGAAAGGCAAACGGAATCAGATGAGAAAAAGAAAACAAAGACACAGGTAATATCTTAAAGGAACTGAGGAGACTTAATCCAACAGAATCATCGGCAGGCCATTTCTATAGGGCTGACTTAGAACATCATCCAGTCCTCCCTGTGCCGATCTCTCCGTAAAACGAAGACTGGTTTGATAACGAAATGGCCACAGCTCCACGATGTTACAAACTAGTAGTGGGAAAGCCCGATTAGGAATACAACTCCCATCCTCCCCAGCCAGCACAGCTACTCTATTCTAACACTCGTGGAAGCCACTAAACGGGCGAGCGCCAACACTTAGGAAAAAGCTTCTCCCCACCAGCACGTACAAGGCTCTCCCAAGAGCCCAGCCATCCACCTTTCTCGAAGGCCCGCTCACCTCCTCCACAGCCTCTAGCAGACTCGAACGCTGTTTGAATTCAAACGCCCGCCCGCCTCCTTCAACGCCCTTTAAACCGCCCGCGCGCTCTGATTGGCGACCCTCTATCCTTCACTCCAAGACTCTCGGCCGCTTATTGGCAAGAAATTGGATAGCACCCGCCCTTCCTAACCGTCTCGGCTGAGTAGGAGCACCGGTTCCCACTCTAAGCAGGCTCGCCTCCCCGTCAGCTACTTAGAAAGGCGGGGCGAGACGGTCGTTTCTTCCCCGCCCCCGTTGCCCACCTGCCTGTAATGTAGAGACTAGCGGTTCAAGGAAATGTTCCGCTGCGGAAGGAGCGTAAAATGCGCTTAACGTATCGAGCTTTTTTACGTTAGAGGCGTACGCTGCGCTGATTACTCAAGCAGGCGCATGAGTTTGTCATCGCGCCGCCGGGGGCGTTCGGCCTCGCTTTTCCTCTACGCAAAGTGCGTAGCTTCTCAAGCAACGGCAGCAGGCTTCCAACGGCGGGGCGGGCGGGGGGGGCGGCAGGCCCGGGGAGAGGGGGGCCATTGAGGGGGTTGGCCTTCCCCCCCCCGCGCGCC